CCTGCTCGCACCTGCAGAGACCTGAAACTGTGCCACCCTGAGTGGAAGAGCGGTAAGTAGGTCGGAGGGGTCGAAAAAATTATAAATGGAAAGAAAGTTTGCTGATGTGTTCACTTTTAGACTTAAAAATGTTCCTAACTGGTGAATACATTGTTTCAACTATCAACAGCTCTAGTTTAGATATTTCTAAGACAGTCTGTGGGCATGTTCAGTCTGCGCTTGAGTGACATTTCTGGAGATTGAGATTGAGATTTTTGGCACCTATTCGGGTTCTTTCAAGTACAAAGACTTCAGTGACTTCAGTAAACTCCCAGCATGGCTCCACCAAACACCAAGGTGTGATCAGACACTGAAAACTACTTGAATACACCTATATGTTATATATATGCTTTCAAGTATAACTCAGTGTGTAGCTTTCAGGTTTCTGATTAGGACCCTGTGCCACAGAACTGACTTTAAACTGTATCCAGTCTATATGAAGTGAAATTCCTGTAAAACACTTATCTAACATGGTGTTTGGGTATGAGCCAGGTTTATGGTAAAAACAGATTTCACCAAAGTTGCATTTAGTTTCTCAGCTTCACTCCTTATTAACCGATTTCTCTCATCTCTCCAGGTGACTACTGGGTTGACCCCAACATTGGCAGCACAGCCGATGCCATCAAGGTCTTCTGCAACATGGAGACTGGAGAGACCTGCGTCTACCCGAACATCGCCAAGATACCAAAGAAGAACTGGTGGACCAGCAAGAGCAAGGACCGCAAACACATCTGGTTCGGAGAGACCATGAATGGAGGATTCCATGTGAGTCATTCATATGTCACTTAAGATCTTTCTTTTTCTTTCTACAAACCGATCCTGAAGAACTAAATGATCCTCAACATGAAGGCTGCTAATTAACTCCCCTGCTCATTGTCTGGCTCTGCAGTTCGACTACGCTCAGGATGGACCTGCTGCCAACGCTGCCAGCGTCCAGCTGACCTTCTTGAGGCTTCTGTCCACTGAGGCATCCCAGAACCTCACTTACCACTGCAAGAACAGCATTGCCTACATGGACCAGACCACAGGCAACCTGAAGAAGGCTTTGCTGCTGCAGGGCTCCAATGATGTGGAGATCCGTGCAGAGGGCAACAGTCGCTTCACATACAGCGTGTTGGAGGATGGCTGCAAGGTGAGAGCAGACAGCTGCAACTCAGAACCAGAAGAAAAGTATCTCTTTTAGGTTTCATATATGTATAACTGTCATTGTATCTTAAGACTTTTGTTAACACACTTCTCCACTCTCAACCAACAGAAACACACAGACCGATGGGGCAAGACTGTCTTTGAGTACAAAACACAGAAGACCTCCCGTCTGCCAATCGTGGACATTGCTCCTATGGACATCGGAGGAGCGGATCAGGAGTTTGGCGTGGATGTAGGCGCAGTCTGCTTCTTGTAAAGTGGAGTATCACAATGGCCCCCCAAATAACAGGAAATAAATGAAACTCAACCATGAAACATTACACACACTTCCACAATAAAGAAGACTGGAAATTATAAAAGAAAATTGATACTTTTTCTCTCACAACGAAGTGCTCTCCAAGTTGTACTCCCTGGATGTTAGCACTGAAGGGCACCGGCAATATCTGTACACCACACCAGCATTCTCTGTCAACCCGCTTCCTGAGATCCAGTCATGTTTCCCATGGCCCACTGTTGACGGGAATGAGTCAGAGCCAGGAGGAAGAGGGACCAAGCGAACAAGTTATGGAGAACAGAAACATGACTTGATGTCACTTATTTATTGTCTAACCTGAATGGGCAGAGTTGAGGTAGGACTGGACGGGTTTACTTTGTAAGTACGACAAGCCCCCTTTCCACTACAGAACAGCCGCACAACCTCTGTCCCAGTCCTACTCCATCTCCCTCCCTGTTTCCCTCCTGACACACAAATACGGCATTTTGAATCAGTGTAGACCAAAAACATATATATATTCTCAGTAAGTAAAATCAAATCCAGGTGCTCCAGGCCTGTCCATCACGAGCAGGAGCAAAACCTTTACTGTGTATTATAAATCCTTGGTTCTATTGTTGTAAAAGTCTGTGTTTATAAACAACCAGATGGTTTTATATATATTTCCACATTATGTGTGTACATGTGTCTATATGCACACCAACACTTTTTGGAAAGTGAGGATACATTTGGGATGTATGTTTCAGTGTCCTGTACCCCATGACTGCCCATCAGAAGAAGGCCCAGTTCTCCAAAAAAAAAAAAAAAAAAAAAAAAAAAAAAAAAAATTTGTTTTGAAGAATTTGAGGGAAATCAATTTTGCCTTTTTATTGTAGTCATCCAGATCGTTTAAAGCTACCTCACGCTGAAAAACAAAGTGAAAATGTTGAGTTTAAATCTGAGCTGACCAAAACATTAGCTTTCAGGTGGATCTGGGGCTGAACGGCCATCTTTGCTTTGGGTTGCTCTCTCTTCAGAAGGTGCTATGAGTTCTGTAATTCTCCACCAAACGCCCCCCCCCCCCCCCCCCCCCCCCCCCCCCCCCCCCCCCCCCCCCCCCACCCCCCCCTACCCGAATTCCCACTAGCCTCACACCACACATTCACACTCCACCCTGGAGGAGGGGTGCAGCCGGGTTAAGACAGGGGAGACAGGGGCTACTTGGGGACCTCCTCTTGAGTCCAGATCCCCAAAGCTGAGCGTGGGACTCTGAGGATGGTCACTTAAAAAAAAAAAAAAACCAGGGTGGGTTGTCTCTGTGTGTGTGAGGGCGTGTACATTTTTTTAATTAATTTTATTATGACCATGATCATTTTTGTTTTTATTTTGTTACACTTCTAATTGCTGTAAATTGGAAAATAAAAGGAAAACCGAATTAAGAATGAAGTTGATTTTTAATTGAGTTTTGAATAAAAACAGAAATGGCGTGGGGATGTATTTCTTCTCTCAACAGAACCATTCATGTGTGCTTAAATGTTTTTTTTTTTTTGTTAAACTTGTATTTCTTGAGGTCAGTTACTCTTGACTGTGAGTGCGTAGTCAGTGTGCATGTGTGTGTGTGTGTGAAAGTTTAAGACTGTGATGCAAGTGTGTGTTTTCATATGAGAGAATCTCATAACAAAAAGGAACAAACGTACTGTATTCGTTCTGCGGTTTCAGGGTGGGGCTGGGCGTCGTTGGCTCCTGTTTGTCTGAACTAATAGGCATAAATAAAGAACATTTTGTTGACTGGAATCAAGTATTTTGTAGAGTAATGATGCATCTGAACAGCTGCATCACTACTTGTCTGTACTGTGGCCTGCTTCCTCTCCGGTCTGTCCTGAGAAATAAAAGCTTGACTTAAGCCTCCACAGTGACATATTCTTATTCAAAATATAATGACCCATTAGGCATCCAAACACATTAAGGGTCTACTTCATATTTGATACATATGAAGATAAAATGCTCCGCTAATTATTGTTCAAATCAATGTTAATTATTGTTAAAGACCGGAAAAAACTAAATTATATCACATTTAAAGGGGAACTCCACTGATTTTACACATCAGGTCAGAGGGAGCACTGCTGGATAAAGAAATAAGACCTTCTGTGGATCCAGAGGAAGCAGAAAGAAGCCTGACAAACTGCCTCAAGTGACGTTACAGTTGACAGCCAAATAAAGCCATCAACACACTTCGCACACAATTTTTAATCCTACATGCAGTGAAAAGATGTTATCAAAAACATTTCAACAACTCTGTAAAAGGAGAAGACACTTTTCACCTCCTGCCCAGAGTCCTGCAAGGTCTCACTTCTGCAAACCTGCACCTGCAAAGCTTCGCATCCGACTCAGGATGGATGGATTACTGAACAGACCTACAGGCACAGACCTAGGGGCCTAAGGAGTCAGGGAGACACTGAAAGAAACACAATATGATCACAAAGAGAAGCACAACAACTACAGAGACACAAACTGGCTAAAAGTAGATGCAAAACAACCACAAGACGCAAAGTGATCCCAAAGAGACACAAAACAACCACAGGAAGACACAAAATAATGAAAAACAGATGCAAAATGATTTCAGAGACACAAAACAACTACAAATAGATGTGAAAACGGCAATAAAGACATGAAAACAACCACAAAGAGACTTTTTCAGTCTGGGTGTCCACTCTAGCGAAGGCCTGCGGGAGGTCTTTACATGTCTGTGGTCAGGGCGCCAAGGTCTCATAATCTGTCCTTGGTCTGATCAGATATGCTCCAGTTTGGCTGATGGGCAGTACAGGGACACACAACAAGGAACTAAGTAGCTGCTCAAATGTCAAAACCTACTTGGCAATAAATCTGATTCCGATTAAAAAATAACAAATAATAAATAAAAACGTAGATTCCACAAGCAGAAGAAATGTCCACATTTTTGGTGAAATATTTCCATTTCTTTCCTCCTGCTCAGACACAATTTTCTCTCAAAAACAGCACATACTATTAGGCACATGTGGCACAGGATGTCTTCATCAATTATTTATTTTGTGCTCCTGTTCTGAAAGAGGCACACTTTGTACATTCGGGTCATTCGACAAGTAGCAGCAGATCTCCAAACCCTGTTTTAATATTTTGTTCCAAGGTTTAAAGGATATTTTCAGAATCTTTTTTCAATGGATAAATAAACAGAAGTCGGTTTTTCTATCATGGAAAGGAGCAGAACGCATCATTTTGCTCAGATTTATTGTCATTTCCTCCTTCCTTTATTTTGTCACTTTTCTAGTGTGCACACAACATAAATGTCGAGTATTTCAGGCTCTGATGCAGTGATTGTGAGTGATTGATTCTTTTTAAAAAAACTGTCCATTGAGAGTCCGACAATGTTGTAAAAGTACAAAAGTTAAATCAGCAGAGTACTCTTTTAACTTTAAGTGCAAATATTTCAGCTCTGGAGCATGAACTCTACATTTCATCATGACCTCACAATGATTTCTATTTGGTTCAATGTTTTGACAAATAAGGAAACAAGTCTTAGTATAACAAGAACTTTCTACACATTTATTGAAAATCTGTGATAGCAAAAATGACTCATGGGTGTGTGATGGTCGGTCAAGAGATGAACTCTGTAAAGAGCGACTGATTGGCAAGGGCAGAAGGCCTTTCCTGCGGGCAAGGCAGTAACGGACTGCCACTCAGGCCAAAATGGGGGACGCCAGCGCTCACAAAGTAGAAAGGCACATGGGTAATTCTTCCAGTGGACCAACACTGTGAACAGAGAGAGAAATGTCACTGTGGAGGTGGTAGAGAACAGAGGGTTTCTGCGGGGTTCATTGAGTTCAGTTTGAGACTCTTTTATACCACATAGAATACAACTTAATACCTGCTTCACAATTACACAGACTAAAGTACGAAGGTATGACGGAGAACCAGTTGGAACAACATGGCTTGGAATTATGCACTACTATATCCTGTTTTTTTCCAGTACTTGACAGTAAATAACAATAATTCCTAAAGACATAATTAATAATATCAAAGCAACATGGATGGAATAAGAGAAATAAAACAGATAAATGAATTAGTCAAGTAAGAAAGACTGATTCATGTAAGTTTTTGCTAAAACTGACACTTTTTAGACAAGGCGAGTTTCCTATCTACTGTAGCTAACTGTAGTGACAGTGTTAGTGGCAGGTCTGATGGTGCTCTCTGAAACAACACCAAAAAAAAAACAAAAAAAAAAAACTGAACAACCACAATTCACTGACAAAACAAACCCAGGTGTGAAACGTCTCCCAACAGCCCAGAATATAAAAACATTTTACAACCAACATTACTGTTGTCTGCAGGCTGTGTTTTTACCTGTAGTTCAGCTCATTTGATCCAGACAGAGGGAAAATATTGTTGTCTTTTAGTTCTGGTCCAGTTCATGTTCACACAGATCTCTGCTGACTGACAGCAGGTCACGCAGCACATCAGTGCTTCTAAAGTGTATAATTATGTTCTCTAGCAGCACAAAGAACTCACGAGGAAATAACTGATTCTAAGCTTTATTTATATTATTAAACTGCAAATTGGCTGCACGTTATGAATATGGAGGATGCAAGCAAAACAGACTGCAGTTTTAACTGCTTTTGACTGTTTGACTCATTAGGACAGCATGTTACCATGGTTACCAAATTATTTACATAAGTGGTCTCAGACTTTTGGACCATGCTGTATGTCACTTACACAGACCAATCATTATATCACCTCCTGAGGAGCTCACAAACTGCAGATGGATTTATTAGTAGTTTAGCTTTTGAATTTATGCTAAAACCACAAATCTGCTTTCACTAAATCCTGTGTTTGGTCCGTTTGCTTTCAGACCACAAATAAACCGCCAGAGTCGACTCGGAAGTTGTTTAGGCCTCACCAGAGTTCGAGGTACCAGCCCAAATGAACCGTACTCACCAGGAAAATGCACCAGAGTTCATTTTAAGTGAACCAAACAGGTTGGGTGTGAAAACACTTCTCTCTGTTCAAGGCTAAAACTACCACATTATTTACTAAAACCTAATATAAAGAGAAAAACAGGGACTAACCAAAGTGAGCAGAGCTCCGTGCTGGAAATTCGGGTGGAACTGCATCAGTCTCGGCTCCGCACCAGGCTCTCCTTGAACAAAACCACTAAACAGGGAAACATAAGAAATATTCAGTAAATGTAGCAGGGATATACAGTAATACTAAGCTGGGAAATGCAATACTTTTCAGTTCTACTAAAGCTACACAAATATGAAATGTGACCACATGTAAAAGTACGAACCATGGCAAAAGCTCAAAAATGGGGTTGGTTCTTGTCTTGAACACTGCTATGATTGCAGGCCGGTCTGCTGTGTGTGGATCACCTGAAAGATAAAACAACGACTGACACTACTTATTAAAACTAATGCTAAAAATGACTCCAGTGTAATACTGACTGGGTTCATAGAGGTGAACAGAAGAAAAGTGAGAAAGACCTTTAAGAAGCACTGCAAGCCTCTCTCCTCTGGGATCCCAGGCTAAACACTGGATCTCTCCACCAACACTGGTAACAGATTAGACAGATGTGAGAGACTCAACCTCCAGGATCAAATAATCAGCAGTGAAAGAAGTATTAACATCTTTTACTGATGTACCAGCAATACCACAGTGTAAAACACTTTTACAAGTAAAAGCCCTGCATTCAAAATGTGACTTGTAATATAATGTAACAAAAAATAGACTACGTATTAGGAACCACATGCACTTAAAGTATCAAAAGTAAAAGTCTTCAAGCAGGACGGCCCTTATCAGTGTTATATATTCATACTACCGGATGATTATCACTGATGCATTAACATGTAAGCTGTATTTAAATGTTGTAGTCGTCGGATGTGTAGCTCATTTTAACTACATCATAAACTGTTGGGTATTTCAATCAATAAGCAACTATTGCAGCTCTGAAATATAGCAGTCATATAAAATGTATTAAGTAGACGCCGTCAGGTTAACTACAGAAACCTCAAAATTGCACTCAGGTCCAGTACTTAACTAAGTGTACTTAATTAATTTTTACAATTACATTTGAGGTAAAAAGAAAAACTGAGGCTGTATAAAGCACTGTGCTGACTGATGCACATAAGAATTTGAGTCAGACTCTTTGCTTTTTTTCAACCCTGCTTGCTGATTTGAGGCTATAATAAAAATTTCCAGGTGCTTCACACTGTCTTTCTTTTTCTCTCTGCATTGTACCTCTGTTTATCTCTGTATTTAATGTATTTACACTCTAAGGCCAATCAGCGATTTAGTTTAAAGATCTTACATGATGTCTCCATCTGGAGTGTTAAAGGTCGTCTCTGATAGGTCAGCCACCACTGCTGCCGCCTGTGGCCCTGCTGATGTGCTTGCAGAAATGCCTGCAGAACAACATCACACAGGTGAACACGTGCTACTTATCTCTTTTTTCTATAAGTTAATAACTAGTTACACAAGTTATCAAAATTCTGTATTACTGTACAATCGCTTTTTCATCCAAATTTACATGAAAAATTGCTAAATCAATCATCAACAAAGATGTGTTTTCTTGAAAATAACAGGTTATTTTTATAAAGACATGAACCTGGTGTGTCAGTGAAGGTCAGAGCGTAGATGACCGTCTCTCCCTGCACAGTGAAAAGCAGTCGACTCCCATCTGGACTCCAACAGCCAGACTAACCAAAACATAAAACATTATTGAGCAAATACAAGATGTAAAATGTTTGCTTGTATCATTAAAAAATGACTTTGAAACATTGTGACAAATATCACCTGGCAGCGCCCCTTCACACATGGCCAACGCTCACAGGTCCACATCCTGGTCTCCCAAACCCTGAAGAAAGAAACTTTACTCATCAATGTGTAGGAACTCCACTTTCTGTCCACTTACTATCTGATAGCATCTGCTAAACTCAAGACTTTGCCACTAATCCCTTACATGTTCATAAATATTCATGAAAGTTGAGTGAGGCTCTATTATAATACAGCAAGAGGCCAATGAATCTAGTCCACACACACTAATCATGAAGGAGAAAAGTTCACATATATTCTCTGGCAGCTTTACATATCTTTAACTTGAAATGTGCTAATGTAGCTCCACAAGGAAAGACAGAATGACGGAAGGTAGAAGGTAGACAAACAGGACGCTAGGTATTTTAGAAACTCGCTGTCTCTAACCTGAACAGGGTAGACGGTGTAGAAGCCAGGATGTGGCTGCCATCAGGGGACCAGGACAGGAAGGTGACCCCACCTCCTCCAACCCGCTGAAGTGGCACACAGCTTTCTGCAGCTACATCCCAAACCTGAAACATGTATTGATGTCAAAGTTACAAACAAAATTTCAGTCAAACACTTTGTGCATCATTTTTTGCAACATGAACTGGACTTAAAATATGTAGCTTTTCCCTCATACCATCACTGCAGTGTCCATAGGCGAAGCTGACACAAGGAGAGACCCACTGGGAGACCAGGCGATGGAAGTGACTGGAGAGTGACCAGGATGAGACAAAACTTGAGCACAACCAGATGAAGGCCTGGATGGGTCGAGAGGAAGAAGAACCATGTATCATGAAGAAATCAATACAGCACAGGAAAAGGCAAGAGAGCAAGAGTTTTAGGGTTTCTGCAGGGTTAAATTCTAAACTTTTAAAGATCTTTTTAACACCACAGAGAATGCAATTCAATAATTTTCACACTCATACTGGTCAAAGAATGACAGAAAACCAGTAGACAGTAAGGCCTACAATTATTTATCAAGTACATGAATTTATTGACATCCATTTCACATTTCTGTCAATACTAATGGGACCATGACTCAGATAAGTGGCAGAAAATTGATGGATGGATTAGCCAATCGTTGCAGCTCTAAACAGATTAATTGATGTTTTTGCTAAAATTGACAATTGACAATGAGGTTGCTTGAGTAGTTATTGTGTTTGCTAGAGGTCTGATCATGCTGACTGAAACTGAAGTTTCCTGCAGCACAGTTCACTGTCACAACAATCCCACTTTTAGTTGATGTGTGACATCTTCAAGCAGCTCACAACCACAGACAAAAAAAAAGTTAGAACTAGGATTACTGTCTACAGCAGGCAAGAAAAAGGATAAATGAAATTCAAAACTTTTTGATAACTTCTAGAAACTTTTTGGAGAGAACTGATTTCAATGCTTTCTAAGACCCTTCATAACCTGCGCATACCCCAGAGCTTATGTACCTGGTTGATAGTGAGCAGGGGTCCACGTGCCAGACCAATAAACAGTTTTGGCAAGCAACAGCCAAAGCAGATGCACACAGCGGCTTCCACTGCACTGCTGCCACACTCCTCTGTAGACGGTGCTTGAGTGTGGGAGTTGTGGCACTGATATACAAAAGAAAAAAAATGAATGTCATCTTGCATTACAAAGCTTTGATCAACAATTATCTTTGTTTTTAAGTTATGGTGGGCGTCTGATCATATGTAAAATTTGTGTGAAAGTTCAAGAATTACAAGTTTAGCTATGGTACTCATTTGGTAAAAAACAAGTGTAATAATTTGCAAAGAAAGCAAGAGCATGGTTTCATGACAGATTAACAGTGTAGACTTTAATCCATCAGCTGTCAGCGTAGTTACGGCACCTTTTGGGGTTGTAGATCTTAATGGAGTCATCCAGGAGGGCTACAGCAAATTTATCTGTGTGAGGATGCCAGGCAAAGGCTCGCACCACACAGTCAGACCTGGTAACACAGAAGGGAATAAAGCAGACAAAGGTTACTGACTATTCAATGGCTGTTTTTTTTTTGTTTTTTTTTTTTATAATTTTGTCAATTACATTTGGTTTAAAATACTGGACAAGGGTTAGGGTTTTGTGGCTGTAAGAACAGCCATCAATCTGATGATTAAGAAAGAACAAGAAATTCATTGTTAAGATTAGGGTTAGTAAAAAAAACCTCACTGACATTTGTAACTGTGCTAATAACTAAATTTACAGCCTTGGAGCAGAGTCTCTCTCAACAGTATGTTGTGAGGCCTACTTTATATGTACAAATAGCAACAGTAATTTTTTGAAGAACAATCTAATATTGTTGTTAATTCAATATTTATGTTCTTTTACAAACACCATTTCCCATCAGCCCTAGACCTTCACGGGTTAAATATCACAGCTCGACAGAGGAGGTGAGTCCATGAATAAGTCGAGGGGTCATGGTTAGTTTAGACATGTCTGTAATAACAGCAGGACAGAAAGGAGTGAACGCTGCAGAAGCTGTTAAAGTTGAAAAAAGATTTTATGGATGTAGACATAACCAAGTTATGATGACATAAGAACCCATGCTGCAGTGGTTGTAGTTTCTTCATGCAAGCTGTTTTTTGTTCTCTGCTCACAAAGTAATTGGTGTTTCATTTTAATAAAATCGTGAAGGTTTCAATGTCTCACAGTGAATGCTGCAGTGGATGACAGTTTGTGCTCAAATATGGAAAGTAAACTCCTGCTAAATAAGAGACTGCATTGAGTTAGTGAAAATATTTGAAAGAGAGTTTTGCCTGGATGTGATTCTCTACATCCAAGAGATAAAAGTGATTTCATTAATGTCTTCTTTTATTCAGTCTATCTGAACAGTTGAAACCCTAAAATATTGGCAGCTACATTGGCACTTACCAGTTCAGCACTTGTGAAAACTCAGCTATCATGTCCTCACTTCTCAGCTATGGAACAAATAACAAACAGGTAACGCACAGTTTAATGTAACACAACAAACATCTGATAATCAATCAAGATTTCTGTCAACAACATATTTAAAGATAAAAGATTATATAAAGGTATATATATACTATATAACCTTGTAGTGTCAAACTCTGTTCTGTTGAGTGAAGGTCAAACATTTAAGTGAAGTAGCAATAAGCAAAGCACAGGGGGGGGGGCAGTACTTACCGTGAGATGAGGAAACAAGGAGCCGTGAAAAGAAGAGACCCATCGGAGCAACGCCAGCGTACAACCAGAACTCATTGACAGCCATTTAGGCACTGTAAGATACAGGAGAGTTATATCAGTGGATATGAAGCATCTGGTCATTATGTGTAAAACAGCACAATAAGGGATTTTGGTGCCTCACATACCCTCTGTATGCGAGTTGGTAATTTCAGTGAGTAGTCCTGAGAAACCACCATCCCGCCTGGAACAGAGAGAGAGAAGTTGCAATTCGATTGATAATTTTTGTCTGTAATAGACTTGGGACAAATTATTGATATGACAGTACATTGGGACATTATGTCTTGCAGTACATCATCCTCTGACTTCGAGTTACTTGGTCTACATATGACAAAGATTTGGGTGACTATGAGCCGTAGCTGTCTCCTTCCTTTACTGGACACTTGTACAATCATTCAGGTTTCTAGCAGTTTAACTCTTTTGCCAACATATGGCTGTTTGACTGATGGCACATGTTTTCATGTTACTGTGTGCGCTACGGAGGCAATAACAATACTGTTTTATCTAAGTTGTCTGTACCTTTACATGAAAATGAAAACACTTTAAATTTCAGTGTATACATTTTTTCACATTCATTTGTCTGATACTTTTGTGCAAACCAAGTTACATGTTTTGCACAGACGTACTCAATAACACTTCAAAATATCTGGGAGATGAGGGATCGAACCATCAAAACTCACATTTGAAAGCTTCACCCCTTGTTACATGGCAAGATTCCTGGTGAACAATTATTGTCTCACAAAATGTTTTGTGTTGTACAGTCATGTGTAATATGATAGCACTACAGCAGTAATTTGACCTGTAAATGGGTGATATAGCAGCTCATATTAGCTTCCTGCAGATATATGTACATTGTGTGCCAATGAATTGCAGTAAACAAATGCCATGGTAGTTTCTAAAACAGTGTATCCATTGTATTGTTTGCCCACCAGAGAACACTGACAAGTTTTATTTTGAATGGAAAATGCCCTGCTCAGTACATACAGTATATCGCTTGAAGTTCTTATAAAAACAAATTTAAATTTTCTTTTTAAAATTTTTAAAATTCAAAAGTCCTGTGTTGGTCAGGCATTAACAACATAATTGTCATAAGCAACATGTCAAAGTTTATGCATTATATGCAGTAATTCCGACACCTTGTATGCCAGGTTAAATGTGTGTCCTACCATGCTGCTGCGCTCCTCATCCACAGTGTCTCAGAGTGGTCCAGAAAAGCTGCCTTGCTGCTGCTTTCTGTGCGACTGTGGAGCTTCAGAGACTCTCGTGGGAAGTACAGACTAAGAGGACTAGACTCCTGCAGAAAACACACAACAAAGTGATTACCTTTACTAAAGACACTACAGATGCCTAAAACTACAACAACTCATTAACCGATTATCTTCGGGGTCAAGGTCCTTATTGCTGTTATTTTGGACCCCCCACAGAAAACCACGTTTGACTAAATCCAACACAGCAGCTGTGAATCACACCTGTTTCGTTTGGTCTTCAGTGTTGGTTCCGGACAGTAGCTCGTTGTTTGACTCACACAAAGTGGTATGTCCCGAGGGCAGCGGAGGGGGAAACAGCGCCAGAGAGCACATCTTCAACACGGTGAAGTCTTACCACTGGACCCTGGAAACACACCATGGATCACACAGGTAAACACCGGGTACCAAATGTCATGTTTACACACCAACAGCTGAATGTAGCCTTACACTCGACGTCAACTGGTTGGCGTACACTAACGGTTAAAGTTAGCTAGCTAGCTGGCACAAGTTAACTACTTTGATGTCACTTATTATTGTTATTATTACTTGTTGTGGAAGTTACCTTGTAGTGTGTCCTGTGTATGGTGGTGAATTTTCATGCGGTAGTTTTCCAAACTAAATAAAAATATATGCTACACTGTTGTGAGATTGTGCCTCGCTTCGAGTCAATCCCGCCGTGTGGGTTACGGCAACTCAGAAGGACAAATTGTGCGCAGCTCAGTTTTTTTTTTTTTTTTTTTTAAATGTTGAAACAACTTTATTTATATATATATGACACAGATAAGTACAGTGACAAACAATGCTTTAAAATTTAAACATAGAATATGACATCAATTACCTACCAGAAATAATAACAAAATAGTTGTTATTTGGATTAAAGTGATAGAATTAATTGCCTATACAGGTGGGGAGAGTTGAACATATTATAATAATAATTAATCAAAATATGGAACTGAGCAAAGGGCCAGAATAAATAATATGCAGTGTACATAAAGTTTTGGATCGTGTAGGTCTTCTCCTTCTTCTTGTGGCTTCTTTTGGAAAAAATATTTGCTAATTCATTTCTTTTAATTCCAATATGTGCTGGTATCTACAGACACCCAAAATGACACTCAATCCCATCATTTGAATTCTGTATAGTTTCTGTTGTATTTTTATCAAAAAATGTGTTTGCTGAATCTCAAACTGGCTCAGGATGAACTTGAATCTGAGCATACAACTGCTCTCAGTGTTTTTGTCTTTTCAATCCATTGTAATGCTAACGTGACTGCAAGCATTTGTCCAGTGTAAACTAATTACCAATCACTAATTCCCTCCCCTCCTTAAGGTTAAACTCTGGAACAATTAAAGCAACTTTATTGACTAAATTCTTTTATGCATCTGTGTAGATCTGAATGTATTTGTAGAAGTGACTTCCTGAATAGCTTCTTATTGTATGTGAATTCAAAATGAACTCCTTATCTTTGTTTTTCTTTTTGATTAAAAAACGTAAAATATATTGTAAGACCAGGAGTACAATCCATGCTTAATTTGCTGGAGTTCTGCTACAATGCACAAACTGGACAGCGCTGTCATGCTGTCCTCTTCAGGATACAGAGCAACACTGCATCATTGCTGAGCCAAACGGGCACCAACTATTTGTTGTTACAGAATTTATGTCAGAAACAATTTTATTTGACTACATGTTATATATGTATATATATGTGTTTTTCCTCAATCTTCCTTATGATATAAGGAATATATATATTTTTACTTTTATATCAATGTTTATGTTACCAATTCTTAAACGGTATAAAGATTGGAGCTAGGAAATACATGATGGACCAAAGACCGCTGCCAACAAAATGACAAACGTTTCTGTGATCAGCCAATCAGAGTTGATACTCCAGTTGAATGCATGCAGGTACCACTCAGCCCAGGAAGCATCAGCAGGGAGCTATGCTACCGAATAGAAGAGGCATAGTATGAGGTTCCATTTTGCCAAAAAAATATATCCACATGTGCAGTGTAATGTGGACTGAAAATGTGACAAAATATTTGACTGTCTATTCAACTTCGAATTGAACTTCAGTTCTATGTTGACAATCAGATTGTAGTGAATGGATTGTGGTACCCCCTGTTGTTTGACTGTGTTGTTGTACATGTGGTCCTGATGTGTCATTTGAACAACACAGCACAACACAACAACACAGTCAAATGACACACCAGGATGACATATACAACAACATGTTTTGTCACATGTTCAGGTGAAATAAACATGTGAACATATTCTTGGTACAAATGGAAGCCCATACAGAAGCACTACACCTATGTTAAAAACCCAAAAGCTTTTTCTTATGTATGCTAGATATTCCCACTTCATAAGACATAAAACTAATTATTTTATCATGTGGTTGAAAATGTTGACATTGTCATTGTCATTGTCATTGTCATTGTTGATGACAGAAATCTCCATTCAGGGTCATGTGACTCATTTATTATGTAGCAGGTGTAGCTTACTCATAACCTTTATGTTACCATACTGTAATAAACTAAAAGTTGTATGTGTATTATGTTTCCAATAAACCTACAGTTCTTTTTACAGTGTAGGAGGAACAATTACAGAAGCAGAGCCTGTTTCACCTCACAAAACTTTTTAGACAGACTTTAAAAATGTGAACCTTTCCTTTAATTCCAGTACAACGAGAACTCCTGTGCTGGAATAATACTTAACTTAGTTTGTGGTAATTTGATTACACACAGGAATAGACTCCACGTGAGGACAAAAGAAACTAAAATAGAAAAGGTCTGAAAAATAGATTTCGACACAAGGCCCCTCCACATGACAGGGCCAGACAATTAGCTAATAATGTAGGACCCATCTTAATTGATATTGTAGTGTAGTGGTGCAAATATCTTCACATATTTGTCACCAAATCAAATTACCAGAACCACAGGAGATGGTTGAACCTGGGGCTTGTGGGGCTCTTCAGGGTCTTGGGAACCCGGACAGTTGCCCACCTTGCCCATTTGGTAATCCAGCCTTTGACAGCGGCACACCAGCAGCCAGGGGGGGATTCAAGTGTGTCTTGCTCAAGGACACATCAGCAGCAGCAGGATGGATGCTGATCCAGGACCAGATTGAAACGGCTCTCAACGTAGAAATCAGTGAATGAAATGTGCCCAAAATGACAATTTTTTGCGAATGGAAATAATGGATGTTATGATGGAAAAGTGATAGCCTAGTTGTCTATGTGGCTGTGTGTTTGCAGAGGGCGCGGATAGCGCCCCCTGGCGGCGCAATTCGCATATCCGTGACGTCAATTCAGCACTGGGAAAGAGACAGCTCCCTCCCCCAAAAAACCCAGCGCGCCTCACGTTGCATGGGTCCCCGGTTATTGATAACACAATTTGCCCGCTGGGATCCATCCCAGTAGCGTGAAACTCGTGGATATAGAAACTGGAAACACAAGAGACATCACGGACCGAAGAAAAACAACGATTTGCTCATTATCACCGACAAATAGAGAGCCGAGCCCACCCCTTCACTTGACAACGCGGCATCAACCAGGCAGAAAGGTATGGGAATGTCATACTATCCAGTTAAATGCTGATTGAATAAGAAATCAGGTATCACAGGACGGCTAGGTATGATGCCGTTGCTTGGTGCGGTAGCGTTCATACTGCTCGCACTGCACCAATGAACTGATGCTGCCAAGAAACGAATCATCGTCGATGAATGTTAGAAAATCATATTTGTGCAGCGAGAAAGCCCAGATTACGAAACATTTGTGTTGATGCCAACATTGAGTAAATGTACAGACGCTGCGGCAGTTTCACTTGGCATGGACCATAGTAAGCATAGGGCTTGCAATTCATGCACGTCGGCTATGATGCTGCTGAGTGTCATCATCACATCCTCGGTTATTTAAAGATTGATCTTCCTGCGTTCTGTATGTGTAAGTGTGTGTGTGTGTGTGTGTGTGAGTATGTGTGTGTGTGTGTGTGTGTGTGTGTGTACTGCTCCTTCGCACAGGCCCGGTGGTTGTTTATTGCCCGTTTTTTCACGCTCTCATTTCGCTCAGTCGCCGTGGATCTTCTCATGCAGTGGTGCAGTACAAGACATGGAGCTGGTGTAGGATATGTGAATTGGGTACATGTGCTCCCCCTCACCACCTTCACCACCACTACCACCCCCTCTCCCCCCTACTCCCCCCCGCTCTCTCACACACATGCACGCACGCACACACGCACGCACGTACGTACACATCCACACCGAGGTGGTTATGCAATTGGTCATAATTTTTCAGATGCACACAATGCTCTTCACTTGATGCATGACGAACGACATATGGGAGCTGCCGAGTAGCTCTACTCTGATGCTGTCAGGCACTGATGCTCCTCAGAGGGACAGTTAAAGAACAGGTGACAGTCAGGGCTGTGGACTGTACAACCTCCTTTGGTCGATTCATTCATAAAGCCCATCTCCACTCTGGGTGATGGCTCCACTGGGCAGGCTGGTTTTCCCATTCATAGACACAGAGATGAGGCTTTACTGCATGATTCAGACACTATTTTGCTGTGGACATGGATCCACTAAGTGGTTAAACTGGGGGACTGGCTGAATGCCCAGCTCACAGCACTGTTTTGTGTTTTGCATAGCTTGAATGAAAGAAAAAGTTAGTGTAAAGTCTAGTAACTTCTTAAAAGATCAAAAGAGGCCGTAGAAGTGAAGGTATAGCAGTCATTTCAGCGCTGGACAGCTCCACGTCTGAAAGGAGCTGTCCAGTGCTGAAATGAGTCTACACTTGTTCATATCTTGAAAGAGATAATCACCAAGGTGAAATATGGCAATAGTGAAGATTACAAATCATTCTAATGCATTTGTTATCATAAATCTTCTCCTTCAGGCTTGCTTCTCATCTTTCCATCCTCCATCCACCCTAACCTGCTGTGTTGGGGAAACCCCTGATGAGTGGGACCTGTATCCATGAGCCCCGTGCCCCTTCCCCCTCCCTGTCAGGCTTCAGCACCCCCATCTCAGAACCCCCCTATCGAAGGCTCGATGGAGACACCCCTGCCTGCACCCCCGAAACGGACCTGACCCCCACACAGTGTGTTCTCCGTAACGTGCTGTCCATCGACACCGGTGGACAGGGGGCACCAGGTGGCAGCAGCCCCACTCCCAGTGATGGACCTTCAGCCCACTTTGACAACAGCGTGCTAAAACTCCATGAACATGAGGTCTGCCAATGTGGCGGCGGGGCCGAGGCAGGGCACAGTCCAGAGGCTGGCGCTGTTCGGAGCCAGTCGGAGAACATTCGGCTACAATCAGGAAGTGGAGGTTTTTTGGAGGGACTGTTTGGCTGCCTAAAACCAGTCTGGACCATGATTGGAAAGGCCTACTCCACTGAACACAAACATAGCCAAGAAGGTATGTGAAGAAAATGTTCTACCTCTATGCTATCTGACTCCCTGCTGTGTTTTGGACAATGTATTTAAATGCCACAGAACAAAGAAAACTCAGACAAGTTTATGACTTAAACATGTAATTTAGTCATTTAGTACATGAAAGTATTGTGGTGCCTTCGTAACCATGGAGATGCACCATGGAAAATATCTGAGCTCTTGGATGAAGCTTGACCTGATTCAGAGCCTTAAGTAAAATTACCAGTCATACAATCTAGATACACTCCAGTACAAAAATCCTACTTTTAAAATCCTATTTGAGTAAAAGAAAGTATTAGAAATAAAAGTACTGCAGAAAAAATGTACCTTTAACTGACTGACATATCATTATACTGTATATTAAATTACATAATTAGATTGTTAGTGATGCATCTGTGCTTAGGTAGCATTTGTATCTGGTTGAGCTAGTTTTAGTCACTTTATATACAGTGAAGTCATGACATGATTAGTGGGGAAAAAAAGAAGAAGAAAAATCTGCAAAAATTAGTTTTTCATTTTTTGACTTTTCTTTATTGTTTGTATTTTTTCTTTATGAAATTGTGGATCATTTGGGCCTTGAGCACTTATTTAAATAAAACTATTTGAGAAGTTTTGAGGAGGGAATCACTATTTGTAAGGGGTCACAAGTCTAAAAGGTTGACAACCACTTGTTTAACAAAACATAACTAACAATACATTGTACTGTTAGGTATGCATTATTATGATATGTCAGGTATATGTAGTGAAATAGAAGTGTAAAGGTTCCCAGACTGTATTAAGTATAGGACTTTAAATTTAAAAATCCATAACTCTAACTCCATTATTTTCATTGCTCTCTGACTTCCACCATGTCCTATTGGAAGCATGACTGTGTTTATAGGTTTGTCAGGCCAGCTCATTCACAGTCATCAGCTACAGTGAGTTTTCACAGCTGGCCAGGGGGAAGCGTCATGCGAATCTGCCTTTGCTGCAGCTCTCCAGAGATCTGGACACTTCAGTGGACCTCATGAAGAATTGATCTGCCTGTCTCTTTTATTCTGCCCAGCTCTTCTCTCTTTAGTGACCATGCTCTTGCAGTCGTTTAAGCAGTGTCACTATGACAGTTGACAGACAGATTAGACTATAGCATAAGTGGATTGTCATTTTTCTTCAATTTCCCCTTATCTCTGGATAGAAATAACCACTGTCTACTGTCAATATACCATTTGTTTGAACATGGCAGGTGCTTTATATGACGTAATTATGTCCTGCCAACCTATTCGAATGTGTAGCATGGACCTAGCATTTGCTCAGCAATACTCCTGACTCCTCCCTGTCTAAACTGGCCAGAGCACATACTGACATTTGGAGACATTGCAATGTGTGATGGATGTAAATCAAGTAATTACTCAAAGGGTGCTACTGAAAAAATCTGTTGTAGTGCCTCTGTTCATCCTGAGAAACTTTTCAGGATTTCACATTTACTCATCGAGTTTTGTCCTGTCAACTTGTTGGTCTGCTTTTAGAGTCCTGGGAGGTTCCTTTCGAGGAAATCTCAGACCTACAGTGGGTGGGCAGCGGGGCGCAAGGGGCTGTCTTCCTCGGCAAGTTCCATGGAGAAGACGTGGCTGTAAAGAAAGTGCGGGACATCAAAGAGACGGAGATCAAACACCTCCGCAAACTCAAGCACCCCAATATCATTACTTTCAAGTGAGGAAACTGATGATATCCTACAGGGTCACGTATCACCATACCAAGCGTTTAACTGTATAAATCCCTTTCTTTTTCTAGTCGCCTGTGCTATGTCATCTGACTGCCTTGTCTCCTTCTAGGGGTGTGTGCACCCAGGCTCCTTGTTACTGTATCTTGATGGAATATTGTGCCCAAGGCCAACTGTATGAGGTGCTGAGGGCGGGCCGTAAAATCACCCCTTCCCTCCTGGTTGACTGGTCCATGGGCATTGCGGGTGGCATGAACTACCTACACCTCCACAAAATCATCCACCGAGACCTCAAGTCCCCCAAGTAAGTCAACGCAGCTAGGCTACTGAGAAATTCAACCAACACAACACCTGAAATTTCATAACTGATTCTTGATTATTTACGTGTAAAAGTCAGTGTCATCTCACCTTTGCAGCATGCTGATTACACATGACGACCTGGTGAAGATCTCTGACTTTGGCACCTCAAAGGAGCTCAGTGACAAGAGCACCAAGATGTCATTTGCCGGCACCGTAGCCTGGATGGCTCCTGAAGTGATTCGGAATGAGCCAGTGTCAGAAAAGGTTGACATCTGGTAAGTCTGATAAACATACTCATTTTTTCTAGCTGAGATACGCATGGCTTTTCTTCACTCAGTGTGGCATTTATCTTTAATGCACTGCAGTAGAATTGCAGATAATGTATCAGTATTGTGAGATTTAATCATTTGTGATTTCAGTGTTTCAAAGCTATTCATTCCTCTGAGGGACTTTTGGTGATATTTTCTGTTTGGTGACTGTTTTGTGAGACTGAGTTGTCTTGTTGGGATGTTGTATGTGTGTAATTTCAAATCCCTTTTAAAGAGATCTTCACCTCAATGAGACTTCCTGAATAAATAAAGCTTGACTTAACTTAAAGGTCATTTGGAGTGGTGCTGTGGGAGATGCTCACTGGAGAGATCCCGTATAAAGATGTGGACTCGTCTGCCATCATCTGGGGTGTGGGAAACAACAGCCTTCAGCTGCCCATACCAGAGAGCTGCCCGGATGGCTTCAAGATCCTCCTCAGACAGTGCTGGTGAGCAAACGTCTGGAAACGGACAGTTGGAATGAAGAAAGAAAAATAATGAGCACAGCAAGTCTGGGGTTTAAGGACTTTATTGATTTTACAGTGCATTGTAAATGTACACAGCTGTCTTTCCCATTTTGGATTTGCAGGAACTGTAAGCCCAGGAATAGGCCTTCTTTCCGTCAGATCCTTCTTCATCTGGATATAGCATCAGCTGATGTACTGTCCACTCCACAAGAGACATACTTCAAGTCTCAGGTATAGTTGCTTCTCTGCTTCCCCATCTGAATATATGAAGCATATATGCATCACTATGATGTGCACAAACAGACACAAATACACATGATTGCGCAGTGATCAGACATTAACTGCCATCCAAAAGAGAGCTGGCTTTAAAGTCAGCTCTGGCTAGACACAGCTGGTTAACAGAAACATGCTCTCTTCAGGCTGAATGGCGGGAAGAGGTGAAACAGCACTTTGAGAAGATTAAATCTGAGGGTACTTGTCTCCACCGCCTTGATGAGGAACTGATCAACCGACGCAGGGAGGAGCTCAGGTCTTTTTTTTTTTTTTTTACTAGTAGCACATCGTTTCATGTCAACTCATGGTGTCACACTGTACCAAATGAGTTGTAACCAGTGGTTGCTGGTAATTTCACTATGTTGGCTTACATGCATGAGGCCACTTTCCCTCTGTCCTATTTCTCGATGTCAATCCTTTGTCCGCCCCTGTGGATGAAATAAGTGCTTGGAGTGCACGTTTATTGTAGAGGATTTGGATTCTTTCATGCGGATGCACAATGACATCAGCAGCCTCTTTTCTTCTCAGGCATGCTTTGGACATTCGCGAGCACTATGAGAGGAAACTGGAGAGGGCTAACAACCTTTACATGGAGCTCAGTGCTGTCATGTTGCAGCTGGAGCTCAAGGAGAAAGAATTGCAGAGGTACAAACAATATTTTTGTAAAATGCACACATTCTTTACAAATTAAAACACACACAACGCATTAACACTTTGGTGTCTTTGGTGTCTGGTATTTCTATCCAGGAGAGAGCAGTCGTTGGATAAGAAATATCCAGGCTTGTTTAAGCACCATAGCTCCAGACAGAGCAGCTCCTCCAACTCCATGGACAAACTCATCAAAAAGAGAAATGTCCCACAGAAACTGCCCTCAGGAAAGAGGTGAGAGATCTCTTCAGTGGTTATTTGATAAAAGTCTGATATTGACAGGGACAAATGAATATTCATTAGGATTGTGGATTATAGTTGTTGACTAATCCCTCCTACTCTTTCAGGCCAGACATCCTCAAGTCTGAGGTAATCATTCCCAAAATGGATTCCTCTGTAATGCAAGTCACTATCCCAGCCTGCCCCAACAGAAGCTCCACTTCTCCCAGCCGGTCTCGGAGGGTAAAGACCCGTCATCGCAAGCCCGGTAAGGGCAGCAGTGGGGACCTGGCTGGACTTAAGGCGAATCAGTCCTCCCCTAATAGGGACACAACTACCCAGGCTAACAGTTCTACCAATAACACCTCCAAGCAGCTCCTGGAGCCCTCTGCAGCCCTGCGGGGCCTCAGCCACGAGCAGCAGCAGAGGCAGCTATCCTCCTCCAGCCCTGACCTCATCTGCACTACACTAGAGGCAGAAGCCCAGGGAAAAGGGGAGCCCTCAGTGGGTGGGCTGGAGAGAGGGGGAAGCCTCAGTGCCTCTGCAGGTTTAGGGGGGTCAGAGGTGGGCGCAGCCGGTCTGGATGATCTCACAGAAACTCCTCCACGCAGTGACACTCCCAGTGAGGATGCCGCATCGTTCCCATTCTCCAGCAGCCCAGACTCACCATGTGGGAGGGGGGCAGCAGCAGGACGGGGATCTCTGGGATCTCCACGCCTGCCTCATGATGGGGAGGACAAAGAGGAGGGAGCAGGTGCTGTGAGGTTGCCCCGGGGGGCGTCAGGGGGAATTGGGAGTCAGCACCTTACACCTTCAGCCATTCTCTACAGGGCAGCTATCACACGCAAACAGGTAGAGTGCCGGATATCTGTTCACATTCCTCAGTACTCCTCTGGTAATACTTTGATCATTTCCACTTGTGTGTTTTTCATGTTTCTGACTACAGAGGCGTGGAGTGTCATCAGAAGAGGAGGAGGGTGAAGTTGACAGTGAGGTTGAGTTACCACGGAGACGGTGAGTAACTTGATGTCCCTCGTCACTGGAAAATTCACTCAAGCTATCTTCCCTCTCTGACAAGATACTGAGAACTAAGAATCATTTTCAATTTGTATCATTCTTCCATATCATCAATGCTGTGTTTTTTAAATACAGTTTTGTTGTTGTTTGTTTTTGTTCTCTCCAGACGTCCGACCAGCATCAGCAAGTGCCAGTCGGTGTCTACCTTCAGCTCAGAGAACCTGTCGGTATCGGACGGCGAGGAGGGCCACACTACCGACCACTCTCACAGCGGTACTCCTGATGTGGTCAGCACCAACACCGACGACAGGTTGGACGACCGCAGCGATGACCTCCTCTCTCAGGGGTCGGAGATCCCGGCAGACAACACTGACCCCGCGCAGGCTTCTGATGGCCTGTCGGAGAGAGACGGAGCCCTGGGCCAGGCCAAAGCTCAGCTGGACGCTGGGCAGAATCTTAATGAGGTAAAGCAGCTCCACAGAGGATTGCATGTGTCAGTTTGTGTCATATACGTCTTATACTGATGTGAAAGCACCAACAAACTGGTTGAAAATAACTAAGTAGAACTGTATTTATGAGGAATTCTGAGATACTGTACCTAAATAAGTACATTTTATGTTACTCTATACTTCTACTCCCTACATTTATATGGCCACTATAGTCACTGGTTATGTCTCAAATTAAACTTAAACTGCAATATAATGTTAAAGATTAAACCATTGGTTCCCAACCTTTTAGGCTTTTGAACCACTTACAAAAAAGTGTCTTTGCCAGTTTTTTCATATGTCTGTCAGTTCTCTGATGGTTTCATTTAAATAACAGTTTGAGGCCCAAGAAGGTAAAATGATCCATATCTTCTTTCCTAAACCATTAATCATGTCACCACCCCTCAGATTTATCTGGTGATGCCTTAAAGGGGCCCACCCCCTAAGTCGGGAACCACTGGACAAACCTACCTTATATCTAAATAGTTCAAACTAGCTCCACCATGACCAGCTACAACAGTAAAACACTGATTATGCATTATTAAAATGTAATAATGTCATATATAAGTACCTTTAACTTTGATACGTTAAGTACCTTTTGCTGATAATACTTTTTTGTACTTTTACTTAAGTAAGATTTCAAATGCAGGACTTTTACTAGTAATGGGGTGTGTTTACATTGTTGTATTGACACTTTTACTTGAGTTAAGGATTTTAACACTTCATCCGCAGGTGTCAAAAATGCTTCACATTGGCCGTAGGTTGTGTATGACATTGTTTTCCTCTTCCAACTCTCCATTCAGAGTCGGGCCCTGTGTGATGATTCTGACTGCGACAGTGCTGAGCTGGATCAGTCAGGTAGTGGAGAGCCCAGTCGCCCACCCAGTGCTGGAGCATGGGTACCGCCATCTCAGCCCTATCAGGGGTCTCCACAGGCGCCACACACAGGACCTCCATAGATCACTGGACACTAGCAAAGACCTCCAGCTACCCTACAGTGAACAACCATCACAGGCGTACACCAATCTGTCAGTGCAGTACATTACTGTTGTCATGAGGGATCACACCTACTACACCGCTCAGACTATGACAAGTTGACTTATGGTGTCTCATAAGTTTGTTGGCTGGCAAACCTACATCAGATGACATAGGGCATTTGTCATAACCTGACATCAAATATTTTGGCAGCTTGTGACATCAGATAAATGTCATTTAAGTTCAGTAGGGTTTTTTAGGCAAAATAGTTACCAAGGTAACCTTAGCCACAGCTCCAGTTCAGCAAAAACCCTTTCACAGACGCACGCACAAGAAGATACCACACTTGTAGTCCTTTAAACACTCTAACCCTCACTCTGGGAGCATCCGTCATGATACTCCACACACTAATGCATCAAATACTAATGAATAATAATGTAAATATCCAATACATACCACATGAGAAATATCTAACTTTATTTTATTTGTAAGATAAAAATGTAAGACTAAACAGTATGCAGCCCTGTGAACAAATGCATGATTACATGTTTATAATTTATGGTTTGAATGTGTCCGTTTTATATTTTGTGAAAGTTTACACTTTTTTAATCCTGAAAGTATTACTTGAGTTATTTTGTTTTTGTTAATAAATGTCAGCACTCAAGAAAAAAAAAAAAGTCAAAATGGAATGAAAATCTCACCAGGACATGGATCATGATGCATAACTAGGATTCTCAGTAGGTGATTTTTTTTTTTTTTTTACCCTCCTACTACTGAGTTCCAAATACACATAAGACATGCATGAGGTTTTTATGAAGCTTATCAAATTTGTGACCTCAGGGTTCATTAAAAATGCACTTCTGTCATTGTATACACACTCAATGCCAGTTTATTAGACACACCTAGCTTAAACTAATTCAGTCTAATACAACAGTCCTCCCGTCATGGAGGTTGTAATGCTCAATTATTTTTTAAATTTTTTCAGAGACACGTTGATTCAGATGTATTATCATCTTAGAGGATGTAGTTTATCGTGCTGTTGATCTGTGTTGCATTACAAAGAGAGGTGTTATTTAGGCTACCATCACAGATATAATTGGGGTGGACAAATATAATAGAAACACCTGTCAGTATAATGTAATGCAATACAATTCAACAGACCCACAAACTGCAGGCTCCAAAATGACCACACTGTTAATTCCGTACCACTCTGAAACAGTTTCACATAGTACTGAACATTATAACCTTCATGAATGGATTCATGGATTTATTGCAGGACTATTCTATCAGACCGTTAGCTTTAGCTAGGTGTACCTAATAAACTGGAAATTGAGTGTATACCAGTATTGCTCTACTGGATTCTGAAATTGTTGGCTTTTTCTTAGTCTTATATTTATGTGATGTGCATTTGAAAGGCAGTGAATGTGTTCATAAAAATGACCTCCTCTGACATGCACTAGCGTCGCTAACTAAGTCTGCTTCAGCTAACTCAGCAGCAAACAGTAAGAGAGTGCTCCACTGACTCCAAGTGGATAGTTCAATCAATGGAAGTGAACCAGAGAAATCTACTCACATGACTGACAGCAGTTGTGTTGGACATTCAGGTGATTCGTTTTCAGACTTGTAGTCATGAGCCCCAACTGACTCTGACTCATGTGACATCACTTGAGGCAGAGTCTGTTTCGCTGTACAAAGCCACAAAAGGCGTTATGCAACGTTTTTCACGTGTGGTAATTTAATCTCCCCAAAGACATATAAAATCAATTTTGATCCCCTTGATTCCCCTTTTAGTAATGAACCAAAAGGAGTACTATAGCTCACTATACTGGCAGGCCTCATAAAAACCTCAACTGTACCTTTTACCCTTTAATATTACTGCGGAAGTAGCCAGATAAGGAATAGAGCACTTCTCTGTGGTGGTTACTAGTAGAACAGTAAGTATCCTTTGGGTTTGAATAGAAATGTTTTGTTTTTATACAGCATTGCACATTGTACCTGTAACATAGGAGTTATATCGAAAGCAAAATATTATGAGCAACAATAAATAATGTATTGGTTAAAAAAAACGACAACAAAACCAAATGCGTGTTGTTTGTTTAAAAAGACGGGCCATGTTATAGCTACAGTTTGTGCTGTTGCTGCGTCACGTAAGACAGCTCAACAAGAAATAAATGACTATTTTCAATGACTTTAAGCATGTCCAAACTGATCCAGTGTCATTTCTTGACTTTCAAATTTGCCCTTTGACAGCTGTCCTTCATTAAAAAAAAAAAAAGATTTGAGACAGGACCATTTTTTGGATTCATAAATCAGAATCACTTTCTGATTGGACACCATTCATAGAGTTGATAAGCTGTAATTAATGGCTTCATTACTACTTAATAAATCATTTACTAATTCTTCATGACCAGTTATTAATAAGAACAACTTCTGGGTTGTCAGATTGTTCCTGGGTTCCTGCATTGTCATACCAACATGTGTAACATAAAATTTGACTTATTAGAAAGTGAGAAACATGAAACCGTTTGTTAACCACCCTTTGTTAAAAGCTAGCAAAGTCTTTCATTAACCTGGCAACCCAAAAGTTGTTAATGGCTTATAGCTGATCAGTAAAGCATTATTAAACAATTTATCAACCATTAACAAAGCCATTAATTACATCTTATAAAGCCTTTACAAAGGGTGCCTCATCAGAAAGTGGCACCAGTAAATCCAACACTGATAACAGGTTAATAAAGGGGTCTTGTCAGCTGCCTGTATGAAAACGTAAACTTCACAACAATGACCATTTAAGCATTTCACATCTTTTTTATTTCTGCATTTCATTTCTTCAACAATTTAATTGCACCCAGATCTACAATAGTTTGAAAACGTGCACAAAACGTGAGTTTCTTCATCCTGCAAAGAATAATAAAAAATAAAATCTGACCCAGGCAAAAAAGGATAGCAGGAAACTAGTGTTAATTCTATAATTCTCCTTCTAGTTAATCATAATTTAATACCTCAGCATAATATACTTATAAAGACCAATATGTCTTGTAGTTTTGCCCCTTGCAGCATTCCCCAGCCCTGCAGTTAAAAAAAATATTTTCTCTATTTAAAACAAACATTTCAATGTTATTATTATCATCATTATCATCATTACTATGGTCTTAGTAATTTCAGAGAAAAGAAAATATTTTCCTCTCATTCAGGCCCACTCCTAGTCACCAAGGCCCACCCACCCTTATCAGAATCCAGTACACAACAATGCTCAAAAGTCCTGATCAAGAAGTAAAACGGATGGAAACACAGGAATGACACAAAACAATTACTCAGCAAATTAGAGGTGAAACATTATGTAGCTTAAAATTCTCCTTTGAACCCACACTTGACAAGGGATAAATTACCTTCTCACTAAAAGGTTGTTCCTGCATACATCTTCAACTGGAGATCATTTACACCCACTGAAACCCGTTAAAACCACAATTCCTCATTCAGGAAGTACAGCTTCAAACAGAAGATGGCAAATATCAATGAATTCTACTCTTACAAGGAGCTGTGTATTAAATAAAAATAAATAGATATTTAAAAGGAAGGGAAAGAACAGTCCATCTATAATGTTATTGTGTTTTTTTTCTTCATTTTTACATTTTCTAAGAAAAATCTGACATAAGAAAAACATTATTTATGCCTTTTCAGATTTTTCTAAAACTTTTTACCTATATCAAGAAGATCATACAGATATACAGCAAAATAAGGAAAAAAAATACAACAGAAGGAAGTCTTTAAAAACTATATGCAAAGGGAATTTAAAAACATAATAAATAAATAAAATACCAATATCATGATGAGGGTGTAATTACAACTGAGTAGGTGTCTAACCAAAGCAGAGGAGAAAACAGTGAGTTTATAGTACTTGGTTTTTGCATTAAGTTCAATAAGGGACCTCTTGGTAAAAAGTAGGGGGAGGGGTTACATTAGGTGCTGATGAAGATCCTCCATGTCAGTTGGCTGCGAGTCCAGTAGCTTCAGAAGACAGCCTGACGAGAACAGAAAAAGATCAACCTTAATATTTGATTAAAAATACAGCAAATTAAATATTTACATAGTGTCATGATGCTTGATGTGTTGCTGTATCTAAAATGGAACAATCACTTTAACAGTTGCATAGTAAAAAAATAGCCTCACTGGACATTCAAACAATCTGAGCGTATGTGGGTGAGGAGCGACGAGTTACACAGGTTCACTTTATGCTACAGGATTTTCCCACAGAATGTCCGTGACTTTCATAAAACATCTGCCTGAAACAATTAATTCAAATCCAGATGTGCAAGACAAATATTTCATTTACATACTTCCTTCTGAAATGATCTATAAAAACTGAGCTGGCTGATGCTTTGATTTGCTTACTCCTCATCCTTCTATAATGACGTAAACTTTATTTTATACAGAACCTTTCATGCGGGTTAAGGGGTAATTCAAAGAGCTTTTTGAGACTCCACAAGAAATAAAAATAATAAAAATGTAATAATAAAACTGTAATTTTCTAAGTTCACTTAAAACCTAGCTACTCATTCAATTCAATCCCTTTGTCAGTGCAAAGTGTACAACGAAATTACTTGTCTCCAGTGGTACATAACTATATACAGTAACAAAAAGTTAAACAAGTAGACACATTACATTTTTTCACACTTCACAATATGAAGTAGGGATAATTAGGCCAGTTTTTATAGTCAGTAATTTCTGTTAAATTCTGCTGTCTTTTCCCTCCCGTTAAGTGATCAGCAAACGCTCTCAAATTATATTGGTCTGATGTGAAGAAAGCTTTGGTAAATGTTGATTTTATTTTGAGGAAGTAGAACTTCCTGTCTTGCCCCCTGCTATTATTACTCATGAAGGCACTCAACAAAGTTTGCAACTTGCTGGTCGAATGGACACATGATAAGAAAACATGAAAATCAGTTCAAATAAGCTGATTGTGTCATTGTCCAGTGAATGTGGAACACCTGTAAACTCTTTCTACATTCACAATGAAGCTGACAAACTGCACTAGACAAAGCAAACAAACCCTAAAACACTGCTGTGTTGTTGTGTTCCTGTCAAATTGCTGCTCTGTGACGGATGTGTTGCAGTAGCCTACAGGCTCTTTCTTACCGGGCATTGATCAGGTACTCAGCCAGGCTGATACTGGCATGGGAGCCAGTGATGGTGACCTGTCTGTCAGTTGAGCCTTCCACAGGGTTGGCAATCTTGATCTGAGCCCCTGACATCTGACGAATCTCATTGATCTTTGCACCCTGACGACCAATGATGCAGCCAATGAGCTGAAATAATTAAAAAAAAAAAAAAAAAAAAAAAAAGTGAGAACACATCCACGCCTTCAATCCCACTGGGCAAATAAAGCAAACTAAGAAAACAGGCTATTTAAAAAAAAAAAGAAGGCATAATGTTTATTTGCTAATATATCACACATTAAATAAGGAAGAGATAAATGCGACTTACATCATTTGGAATGGTCAGCTCATGAGAGCCAGTTTGTGCAGAGGCATCCATCCCAGCTGAAGAAATGCAAAGAAACCCCATGAGAGTGTTGACTAAGTGGATTATTACAAATCTACAGCAATCACACTCCCTCTTTCAATCTGTCCACCTACCCTGGAAGCCCTGGTTGCTATGTGCAATGGGGAAGGGGCTCTGCTGCATGGCCAGCTGGTGAAGTTTGGTGAGCTGTTGAAACAACGGTGGAAACGACATGGAGAGCAAAACAAACAAAGACAGACAGAAACCATGAGTGAGGAACAACTTGAAAAGACACATAAAAGTTGAAATTTTGTAATTATTTCCCTTTTGTAAGTGGTTATAGTGATGATGAGAGGAAAATGTGAAATGGAACATGGGAACCATGATTTAGCCTTAAGTTTTTTACAAAAACGTTGAGGTTAGCATTTACTCTACAATCTCTAGAATTATTAAATGGATGTGTCTATCAAGCAGTGGTGGTTGAACAAAAGAAAGAGTCAGAGGGATGAAATAAGAAGGTGGCATGGCTTCCCAGGACCGAAGTTGCAAATATATTGGATCACTTACAGAGGGCCCTTCACTTACATCAGGCTGTGGAATGGCGTGCTGCCCTTGGACAGCATATGCCTGCAAGGAGAGAACAGCACTTAGGAGGGTGTGGCAGTGTCACACACACACTGTACTCCAATATCCATCAGTCCTCTGTCCTTGGTGTGCTACAAGAGCAAAGCCAGGCATGCTACAAACAGCACACCAGCTACTGGAACAATAGCCTGTGTATAATCTAATGCCTTTGACCAGAGCTGCTTCGGGACAAAGTGAGGATATCTTTCAGTGACCACTGTCAGGCCAAATATTACCAGTGACAAATCAAGTAGAACACAAACAGGTGATTACGTTTTTTTACCTGACCACCTGCAAAGATGACAGGAGAGCCTGAGGGTTTGGGTCTGTACGGGATGGTCACTCCCTTTGGTGGAGACTACGAGAGACAGAAATATTCACCATTGACTATTGAAGCAGCATCAATATTAACACAGAAAATAATAAATCATCAAGAGTATCAATCAATAAGAGTCACTGCTAACTTTCCTAAGGAGTAAAAGCACAATAAACAATGTCTGTACCTCAAGCATGACGACACAGATCTGCTTGACACACTCAATAATGGACTGTGGGGTCCCTGCAACGGTGATGGCACGCTCTGTTGAGTTGGGCAACATGTCCCCTGCTACTTGTACCTGAGCTCCTGCTGACTGTGGAGACACGAACATAAACAACAAGAGTTAAGACACACCAGGGATAAGAGACAAGTTCAAAACTATGCAAAAACAAAGAAATACGATGACAAACCTCTCTGATTTCCTTGATCTTGCAGCCACCCTTGCCAATGAGTGAGCCACACTGGCTGGCAGGCACAACGAGGCGCATGGTGACTGGCGGTTTGCTGGTGGCCGTACTGTTAGTCATTGAGGTGCTGATGTCCTGGAGGGAAAGTGACCAGACCAGAAACCATTGAAAATCTGAATGTTTCAAATCTACTGCTGTAACATATCACTGAAGACATAGCGAGCATCTCTAACCTCCTCGAGTTTCTCAATGATCATGGAGAAGGCTTTGAAAATGGAGGTGGTGGGTCC